GCTTCCTGCTTCGCGTACAAAAAGCGTATCGCGATTCGTCTGCCCCTAGTGGCTCTAGTGCTTGTCGTGATGTGTGTTCAGTCGAACCAAGGACCACCGTCACCTCTAGAGGTGTGCGTAGTGACACGCCTGCTATTACCCGTAGCACAACTGGTCGCTGTTCGGGGAAACAGTAGTATGAGCGCTCGGTTGGTGAATGCTGCTGATGTTACTGCTGTACTTCAGTCTACACGCGACCCAAGCCTTCGACTCTCACAGCGATAACTCTAGGAGTAACAGAGAGCAGGAGATTGCTCGTGACAACCGCCACAATGCTCGCAATGCACGCGCTGTAGCTCCTGCTCACCCGGTGCCCGCTTCGCCCCCCATGCTTTCCGCCCGCGAACGTACTGCTACTGCTGCTGCTCTGAACAAGTTCGCCTCGCCGAAGCTCGCAAAGCGGACCTGCTCATAATGATTCAGGCCAAGGCGACTCCATCTCCGACGGCTTCCTTCGACCCCACGCCCACTGCGGGACCTCCTCGTAGTGTTCCGGTGGAAGGCACAGAAACGGCGGCGCTCTCTTCGCCGGCCCTGCGGGAGGCCACCACAGATCCTCAGCGCCGTCGTCGGGCCGAGCTCCCCGCGGCGACCGTACTCATGGCCACTTCCGCGACCGCTGCTGCCGCCTCCGCTGCTGCTGCTGCTGTACCTGTACGCCCGCTACCACGGTGTCCACGCCTGCTGCAGCAACCCCAGTAGCGTGCCCGCAGCTAATCGAATACCTTAGCGCCCGCTGGCATGCCCTCCCTCGGAAGGCGCAAGCGCTGCTGTCTTCCTCTGAGGCTGAGGCGGCCACTTTTGCCGCGGTGCACCGTGTCCGGACTGATCGTATGGCTCGGAATCATCAGCTCGAGGACCATAAGGGCCGGGAGGAAGAGGGCGGTATCAAGACCGCGCTCGCCACAACGAGAGCGTCAGTCTGAAGGTCGCCACCGACCTCCACGACACCGAGGCCGCCATTTGCCGCTTTGCAAGCGAAGCAAGCTTCGCTGACCGCGGCCACCGCTACCGTGAAGGAAGATGGATCTCGTCACCGGTGCGAACTCGAGGCCTTCACGGGGCGTCGTCAGCGGCTGCTCCGGGACGGCGAGGCACCCAGCTCCGGCACCAGCTCTGGCACCAGCTCTGGCACCAGCTCCGGCGCCAGCTCCCGGGCTTCGAGCGCGACCACTTCCCGGCGCTTCCTTCGCGAGCGCCGCCGGCACTGCCTCCCACAGCTCATCGTGGGGTGTCGTACACTGCCGCTGCCCGCAACCCCAAACGAGCTGCGGCAGCGGCAGCGTAGGACACCCCACGATGAGCTGTGGGAGACAGTGCCGGCGGCGCTCGCGAAGGAAGCGCCGGGAAGTGGTCGCGCTCGAAGCCCGGGAGCTGGCGCCGGAGCTGGTGCCAGAGCTGGTGCCAGAGCTGGTGCCGGAGCTGGGTGCCTCGCCGTCCCGGAGCAGCCGCTGACGACGCCCCGTGAAGGCCTCGAGTTCGCACCGGTGACGAGATCCGTCTTCCTTCACGGTAGCGGTGGCCGCGGTCAGCGAAGCTTGCTTCGCTTGCAAAGCGGCAATGGCGGCCTCGGTGTCGTGGAGGTCGATGGCGACCTTCAGGCTGACGCTCTCGTTGTGGCGAGCGCGGTCGTGAAACCGTCCTCTTCTTAGTGGTCGGCTTCGTCCTCGAGCTGGTGGCCCCGTGCCATACGATCAACCCGGACGCGGTGCACCGCGGCGCAGGTGGCCACCTCAGCCTCAGAGGAAGACAGTAGCGCTTGCGCCTCCCGAGGGAGAGCATGCCAGCGAGCGCCGAGGTATTCGAAGAGCTGCTTGCACGCTACTGGGGTTGCTGCAGCAGGCGTAGCCGCCGTGGTAGCAGGCGTAGGTGCAGCAGCAGCAGCAGCAGCAGATGAAGACGCCGCCGCAGCAGCAGGAACAGGAGCAGCGTGGGCGGCAGCAGCGATCGCCGAAGTGGCAATGAGTACGGGCGCCGTGCTCGGCCCGACGACGGCACTCAGAATCTTTGGTGGCACCCCGCAAGGCCGGTGATGAGAGCGTCGCGATCGTCGTTTCGCTGATACTCCTTTACCTGTGGGCGCGTTCTTCTGGCACAAGGCTCAAGATGGACTTTGGTGGCTAGGCAAGATTTCTGGGCGGACTGTGCGGGCCGACCACTACATCGTCCGCTTCCTCGACGACCCTGGACCGATCAAGATGGCTGTCTTCGATGTGCATTACTCTACCCTCGGATCTGCCGTCTGCGGTTCATGGTGTCTCCAAGTTCACGGCGGTAGCGCTCTTATGAAAGGAGTTCCTGGTAATGTTGAGATGTCGCAAACGTGGAGGCGGATCATTCGCCGCCCGATGATTCGGCACGCGCCGATTGACCCGCGTGTGTTCATGGTTTCTGTCCGTTTGGTGTGTGTGTTGTTCCGGTTCAAATGTGGACTCGCCTTGCGGTCTACGCTGGCCGATTTCAGGTTGATATCGCCCCTGATCTCGTCCGTTTTTCCGTTTGCACGCACGTGTGGGTTGTTGTTGCCTACTAGATAGAGCAGTGTTCGGCTTCGTTTTGGTATTTCCACCCCCCTTTTTTTCGTCGTTCTGACGATCGGTTTGTTTCGGTCTAGTACGTCGTTTTGTCCTTCGAGTCCTGCTGTATTTCTGCTTTCGCGTGGTTGGGCTTTGTTCGGCTCCCTGCTGCAATTCGATATCGTCGGCCCTTATTTGGGTCACGACCCCTTGTTTTCGTTGTCGAAACGTTTGGTTTTTTTCCTTTTTGGTACATCGTGGTGCTATCGCACCCCCCATGGGGTTGTCCTTCGTTTACTCGGGCTAGCCGTAAGTGTTTTTGTCACTTCTGGTCATTTCGACAGTACTGACTGCTCAGTGTTTTACCGATGCGGTTGGTTCTCGTGGTACCGACGGTGTATTTCATGCGGTAAATTCCTTTCTTTGGGTTCCGACCTGTTATGGTATTTGTGGCGTTGGCGTTTTTCCTATGGTAAGTCTTCCCCTGTATTCACAGCCCCCATGTTTACTTCCTTTCTCTACCTTTTCTTCGTTGGGCCAAACGATGGGATTCAACAATTAATTGTCAAGTTCAAACATCTGCGTATGAGAACCTCCAGGATGGGCTAGGGGTGTGGATTGGAATTGTTGTAAGTGTCAATGGTATTGCGGAGTAATTCCAAGAGGAAAGTGCGGGAGATGCAACTCCCGATGGAAGGATAAAACAGGGGACAGGATCTTTGTGGCCCTTTTCAGAGGGAACGTTTCCTCATCGCCCTCTGTGCTCGGTCTACCTTTGAGAGCAAGGCAACGGCAAGCACTGGTGTTGGAAGGATAAAACAGGGGACAGGGCCTTTGTGGCCCTTTTTAGAGGGAACGTTTCCTCATCGCCCTCTGTGCTCGGTCTACCTTTGAGAGCAAGGCAACGGCAAGCACTGGTGTTGGAAGGATAAAACAGGGGACAGGGCCTTTGTGGCCCTTTTTAGAGGGAACGTTTCCTCATCGCCCTCTGTGCTCGGTCTACCTTTGAGAGCAAGGCAACAGCAAGCACTGGCGTTCTAAGAGATTAGTAAACAAGTGAGTCGTCGTCGGCATCTTCAGGGATCGCTACGCGTGTAATCCCACAACAGTCCGGCGTGCCAGCAACCACAGCATCATGTTCAATTCAGCGGTGGTTTAGTAGTGAAAATGTGTGGGCCGAGTGAGTGATGAAATATCAAATGTGCATAATCAGAAACCAAACGGCATCATCAGCAGCAGCGCAGAAGGTGTTCTTCTCTGTTCGATGTTTTTTTTTACTTTTGGGGGTATCTTGCTTTTTTTGCACCAACAAGTGTATGTTTTTGCGATATTTTTCCATAGAATACTTGGCCTAGGCCACGGTTAGAAGGTGGTATGACCGTAATAGTATTTGGACCCTTGGACTAAGATATCATCTTGGCGAGTATATCTTTTAGGAGTATCCCGACCACCTGCCCAGATTGCTGGTATCCCATTAGGCAGGTAGCGGTACGATGGTTGGTAGCAGTAGCAAGCGGTGTGCAAGCGTTTCCCCTTGCTCAGTCCTGTTGGGAGTGAGCGATGGCGAGCGACTGAGAGATAAAGGAAGGACAAGGAAGGAATCAGACGGAAAAAGGCGAAGCGGATCCAACCTGCACACAGTGGTCGGACTACATGCTTCACGCTGAATCCCGTCACATGGCTGGCTGACTGAGCAGCGACCGGAACGACCGTTTACATTGTGACCACAACAACGATCATTGACCGGCGAATTCCTCTAGCACCACACCCTTTCTTTTCCACAGAGAAAAGAGTCCGCGGGAGATTACCGATGGTTTGACGTGTTTGTTTACGGTAGCCAACGTTTTTACTTATATGTATCACAGTGTCCCGAGCAGCTCTTACTGTTTCGTTTTTTGTTTCCATCCGCCGTCGGTTCGTTATCTGTCAGCGCAGTAAACTCAGCCAGCAGTAAAATAACACCCGCTAGAAAAAAATGCAGTATCAGCTTCTGACAGGCAACGCTGACGATACTCGTCGCGTTACACGAGTTGATTTATCACGTTGTGAACCCGTTGGCGAAAAAGGGAAAGGGCTGAAGTTGAGGCCGGGGCTACCCTGCGCCGAATATCCTTAACCCCTAGACATTCGGCGTGTCCAACGGCAAAAACAAAGCGCACGTGCACAAGCCACCATACAACCTCCACCCTGTTCTACCAAGCTTGCGTGGGCTGATCTGTTCGAAGTGTTGACTTGTATTAGGAAATGTCTTGAACTCCTGACGGATCCACGGCACTCGTCGGGGATATGCGCCAAGTGCCTTCCGGTCACGGGTACGAGAGGGCCATAGACCGTCTTCTCGCCGTTGAGCCCGGAAGCAGAATCCTACTCGTCGATTGACAAGTTTTTTTTAGAGGATTCGGACGATTAGCCCAGGGTGTGTACCCGGAGATATGATAAGCCGAAAAAAAAAGTCAGATACTTTTAAGTACCAAGGTTTCGACGACATAAGACCAACGGGCGTTTGCGTACATACATCAAATCAAGGCCATGGCGTCTCGCAACCACCTCGAACAAAACCAAAGGTGCCAACAACATTATCTTACCAGAATAGATCGGCCGGGCCAACTAACTCCGACGACGAGCCTGACCAGGCGATTAACCGAGACAACGCGTTGACGGGAACACCTTGAAGACCACGCCATGGGCAGCAAGCAAACCATGCCCGAGAACAAGGAGCGCGGTTCATCTACCCGGACCGCGCGATCGGACTGCTGTTGTGTCTCCTCGAAAGGTTTCCTGACAAGATCGTCCTTGTGCTCCCGACAGACCGTAGACGTCAACCAAATCATGTCTTGGGAGTATGGCGACTGCCTGCCTTAGACGCCATCGCTAGACGGTACCTATGCGCGGAGATTACATCAGCGCGTATAGCGAGCACCAACAACGACTGCCTTTACCACGGCAAAATCGGCCAGCGTCTGCTTCAACAAGCAACCCTTTCCCCCGCCGGGAGCCTCTCGCCCTACGCTTCAACGGGGATTCCCAAATGAAAAGAACACCAGCGCTTCCCGTGGTGGTGTTCACGCAGGCGGCTTGAGAGGCAAGTATACCCCCCCGGCACGGCTGACCCACGCCTCAGGCTCGGGTTTGTACCCGGGAGGTAGACTCGGCCGTGGAGGGCTGAAGGTCAAGACAGGGGGGCCCGAAAAAACGATAACGTTCAGGGTGGAGACGGGGGGGGGGGGGGGGGGGGGGGGGGGGGGGGG